GTATCCATAAACAGATGAACGTTTAAAAACATGGTTTTTATACACAATGGAATATTAGATTATCATAAGGAAGGAGAAACTCGAAGCATAAAGTACAAAATAAAAGGCAGAAAATAAAAAAAAAAACAAGAGAAAAAATTACTGTATTTTTTTCTGCTGTTGGTTTCTAACTTCAGTCCAGTATGGCATGAGGGCTCATCTTGTGGGATTTCAAGTTCTTTGACAGATTGAAGTCTTTGTTGTTCCTATGCACGTGGTCTAGTCGGGTGAGTGTCTCTCATGATTTTGAGAGGATCGTGCACGCAGCAGCTGTGAAGACAGCGATACCCCACCTGAGGCGTGGTGCTGTGGATTCTAGCTGTGCTGCTGTGTGGCGTTGTCTCCCTTCTCAAGTTGTCAATGGTGGAGGGAGGCATTCTGGAATTTTCAGTAGTATCTGTGGGTCTACGATGTTCTCTTCAGTTTCATGTTTCTGCTTTACATAGATGCTTCGGTTAGTGAAATAAATGTCAAGGCCCATCAGTTCCTGCTAGAAAACTGCCTTTTATAGCTTTATATGACCACTGTAGTCTTTGTTTACTTTGAAGCATCAATTAAATAATGTCAAGTTAACACAATTTCAGGGTATTTGTTTGAGGCACTGCTAGACTAGCGTACTGTATAACTTCCTATTTAATATTTTGTTTAATGTTCACCTTGTACTTGTTTTGTTTTAAAAATATGTGTACTGTGCAACCCACAAAAAGTATTTAAAATGATGTGAACTTTGAAATATTAAAATGCATTATAAACATTGAAAATTCATTATTAGAGCAATAGATAAATATTATCAGAACATATATAAACTTCAGGAATGCATTGAAATATGGACTGCCAATCTCATATGAGATGAATTTAGATGAAATTAGATGAAATTAGATGAATTGTACCGTAAATTAACAGGGAAAGCATAAACTCTTCCACACAGGGTCTCAGAGACCTGAGTCACGGTGGAGAAGAATTAAAGAAAAAAATATATAGATCTGTATTTATATAGTCTTAGAGTGATAAAGACATTTCTGAAACATGACCCCACACAGAAAGTATGAATGAAAAAATATGATTTAACTATTTAAACTTTGCTTATGATAGGAAAACGTACAGTTGAAATGTAATCATGCACTGGGACACAGAGTCAGTCTTATACAAAGACATTAAAATCATGCTCTCATGTGCAAGGTCTAAGTCAACAAGGGTTGAGCCCTCCTACCACAGCTGAATCCCTCGGTGTGTCCACATTTGTGGAGGACGTTTTGGTTTGCATACTCTCTCTTTCCACATAAAGGGTGACATAACTGTAATTTTCTTTTTCAGACTTAACTGTATCTTCTTGATTTTGTATAATGACTATATTATTAATTTTTAACACTTATTGAGTTTCATAAATCCTTAAAAGGAGAGAGTGAGAGAAAGAGAGATCAGAGCTTTTCTTTATCCTTTTAAAGTTTTTTTAAAAATACAAAATAGTAATAAAAACATTAGAAATGATACAAAATTTCACTCAACAAAATAATAGGAGGTCAACAATGGCTGCTGTACTGCATGAGGTTATCTTCAAATTAGTTGTTCAGGTTACCAGATATAAATGTGCAAAATTGGTTTAAACAAAATAAAACAACAATAAAGTTCTATGAA